GTTGAGGCCTCCACCTTCTATTCTAGTGAGCATGATTTGGGAGAGGACATTTACGATTGTGTCCCGTGTGAAGATGAAGGAGACGACATCTATGAAGACATCATCAAAGTGGAGGTGCAGCAGCCCATGGTGAGGAACCTGGGACAGGCTGAAGGGGGAAGGGAAGAGTTGGGCTCCTTCACCCTCCCCTTTGGAGACAACCCCCCCCCAGAAGTTGGGAACAGGCTGGCGAGGGGAGAGGGTCCTTGGGCTTTCTTCAGTCTTGACACCCCATCAAAGAGCTCCATTGGCTATCAAAAGTTCCTGTTCAGAGCCCCTCCCCACCTTCTGAGCAATCCTTGTGGCTGATGGTGCCTTCGAGGAGGTGGAATGACTGTGGCAGAGGGAAAAAAGGTTGTAAGAAGCTGAATTTGTGGAGAAGGCATCAAATAGGAACCAGATCATAGGCGGCTGCTGCTGCTGCGGCCACTTTGATGCATTGTCAAGTTGCCTTCCGGGTAGTGGAGACCACAGGGATCATCAATAGCTCCGTCAACCAAATTTATTTGCAAGAGGTGTAGGATTGATTTTGTTTTATGCACTGGGGACCTCAGATCTGCCAAGAATCAGAGCTCCAAAGCTCTTGTGGCAATCTAAAACTATCTAAAACTGGGGGCAGGAATGGAGCTTCTTGTCTTCATGGCTTTGGAAGAAGCGTCAGGCTCATCAGGGAAGGGAGGGCTTGGAGAAGGAGCATTGCAAAGCCAAAGCCACCCATCAGCCACAAACGGAGCCCTCCCTCCTTCGGGCCACTGTGGGAAATTTGTGCCCGGAAATGGGGGAGAAACAGACTCAGACCAGATCAGATGAAATGAGATGGCTCTCCCTGTCAGCTCCTGGGCAGGTGGCTCCTCTTCTGAGCAGCTGGAGATTTTCTCTTGGGCTGGGACCTTGCCAGGCTGCAGGGCAGGTGGGCCCAGAAGCAGCACAGAAGAGGCTGCCCTCAACCAGGTCTTTGAGGAGGGCAGGGCCAAGAAGACCCTTTTTCTCCACAACCATTGCTCCTCCCTCAATCTCTGCAGAGATCCTCAGTCCTCCAGATCATGGTTGTCCCAAAGGTGCTTTTTCACCTGAGTGGTGCAAATGGCTGTGGAACCTTCTTGGAACTGCTGAAAGGATCTTGTAGACTGAATTGAATTGAATTTGAATTGAATTTAATGAATTTATAGGCCGCCCAATCCCGAAGGACTCCAGGTGGCTTACAACAATACAATTTTAAAAAGTAAAAAAGTTAAAAAATGAGGAAACACAGATTAAAAAACCACATCATACACCCAGTCTAATCGGGGCTAGACTTCAGTCATGAGGTCAACAGCCCGAGGCCTGTCGGAATAGCCAGGTTTTAGTAGCCTTTCGGAAGGCCATGAGAGTGGGTAGGGTCCGGATCTCTGGGAGTAGTTCGTTCCATAGGGTCAGAGCAGCTACAGAGAAGGCCCTCCCCCGGGGAGCCGCCAGCCGACATTGTCTGGCTGACGGCACCCGGAGAAGGCCCAACCTGTGCGATCTTATCGGTCGTTGGGAGGTGTGCGGCAGAAGAC